CCCAATTAAAAAATGGGCAAAGGACATGAACAGACATTTCACCAAGGAGGAGACCTGGGCAGCTAACAAACATATGAAGAAATGTTCACGATCACTGGCCATTAGAGAGATACAAATAAAACAACAATGAGATATCATCTCACACCAGCAATAACAGCAAAGATAAAAAAAAGTAGAGGACAAGAAATGCTGGCGAGGAGGACAAGAAATGCTGGCGAGGATGCGGAGAGACTGGGACCCTCCTACATTGTTGATGGGATTGTGAAATGGTCCAACCACTCTGGAAAGCAATATGGCGCTTCCTCAGAAGGTTGGAAAGAGAAATACCTTATAATCCAGCAATTCCTCTACTTGGTATTTACCCACAAGAAATACGAGCCATAACATGAGTAGATATATGCACACCAGTGTTCATAGCAGCACTATTTACAATAGCAAAAAGATGAAGACAGTCTAAGTGTGCCCATCAACTGAAGAATGGATAAACAAACTGTGGTACATACACACACTGGAATATTATGCTAGCTTGAAGAATAACAAGGAAGCTGCAAACGACCGCATAACATGGATGAACCTTGAGGACATCATGCTGAGTGAAATTAGTCACAAAAGGAAAAGTACTGCACAGAACCATTATTGTAAAACATTAAGAAAAAGAACCCACCCTAAAAAGGGAAACATTATATTTGCTTGTCTCTGGGATGTATGGGATGAGGTGAGAGGAGGGAGGGAGAGGGAGATAGAGCACAGGGTAGGGAATAGACCAGGATAGCTTGGATGCTGAGGGAGGGTGGGGAGGGGAATGGAAGAACAAGTCAGATGGGAAAACAGTTAGGCAGGTTTGCATGGGCTAAGTGAGTTAGAGATAAATAATGATACATGTACAACCTTGGAACAACTGAACTCCAGGATGCAGGGATTGAGACATGGTTTGAATGGGTCAAAGAGGGGGGAAATGTTAAGATGCTTGGCTGTCTTTTGAATCTTGGTTTCCCTTTCCTAGCATTGTAAAATAGACAATTGAGGGGGAGAGAAAGGAATAGCCAGAAACATCACGATAGAAAGCTTGTAAGTCGGTCTTCAGCATATGACTGATTGGAATGCCTTTAAGGAGGCTATGCTTCCTGTGGAGTCTCTGCATTGCCTAAGACCATAGGTGGAATCCTGAACCCCATCTGGAGTCGTCTGAGGTGAGAAGTTTCCACTTGAAAGGGCAAGCCTGGAGCAGCTAGAAGAACAGAAGATACTTTTTGAAAGAAAGACTGGCAGGAAAAATAAAAAAAAAAACATAACGGCAGTCTGATTGAGTACTACAAGAACAAGCAAGTTGCCCACCCAGGAGACATCAAAGCAAGTTGTCCGGTCCCCTCAGCGTAAATCCCCTTCCAAGACTAAGACTCAGTGGGAATACACAAGCAGACATGGGGAAGTGAGGGGGAAACAGCAATCAAGTAGGGAGCTAAGTCTGACCATGTTCAGTAGATTCCTGTGAACCCTGGTGGAGACCTGTTTGGCCAGCAGTATGGCAAGAACCGGGCACTCCTGGCCCCAGAGGCAGTGACATGGCCACAGAAGACTAGAGCAGAGAGTGAAACATCCAGCTGATATGAAGTGAGGGGAGATGCAGAAAAACACCCATACTTGCAGATAGTACCCACTTGACTGGGCTTCAATGGCTGGATGATCGGAACTGAACTAGAAGAGGAAAAAACTGTAATATGATGTAATTTGATGAACTTAGATGTAGTAGCTCAAAAGAGGGAACAAATCTTTACAGTGAGGATCACTCCCACCCCCCCTAAATACACAGGGTAGACAGGGATGGGCAACTTAGACATTGGCTACCGAAATGGCGGGGGGTGGGGGAGGAGACTGCAAAGGCAAGAAGTGACTAGCTTACAACCTTTAAAGAGGGAGCCTAGTTCCAGATGAGGCAGGGGAAGGTAGAATCTCCACTGAGTGGTATCCAACCTGTTTGGGCAGGACTGATGAAAGGAAATAGGGATAAGATTCAGGCTGTACAATAGTGAATAATTGTTATCAGGACTGACTGAGGGTCAGAAATGTAAAGGTAGATGTTTTGTAGCAAAAGGAGGGGAGTGATTGACTTTGCAGTCCGAGAGCGGAAGGCCCTGAGACCATCATCATCAAGTGAGAAGATCAGAGGGCGGGACCCTACCCAGAGAAGCAGTGATGCCAGTAATGGAGGCAGAGATGATGACGTAGATAAATGGAGCAACTGGAGACACTGGCCTCAGTGATCATAGAATGAATGACCTACCAGATTTTCTGTGTTTGTTTTTAGAGTTTTGTTCTGTTCTCAACTCTTCCACCTGTCAATTTAGTTCTGGGAGGTGCTGTCACATATGTTAGTCTCTGGTAGTTGTCAGTTCTTGTTGGTCCTCAGTCCACAGAACCTCCTTTAGAATGTTTTGTAGCAAAGGATTGGCTTTGGCAAAATCCCTTATCTTCTGTTTATCCTGGAATTTTTTATTACATCATCATATTTGATAAGATTTGCTGAAGAAAGGATTCTTGGTTGACAGTTTTTTTCTTTCAGGGTTTTATATATGTCTCCCCATTGCCTTCTTGCTGGCATGGTTTTGTTGAGCGATCTGAACTTAAAACTGACTTGCTTGCCTTTGTTTGTAATGTTTCACTTTTCCCTAGCTGCTTTCAGAATTCTCTTCTTATCTTTGATTTTGGAGAACTTGATTATGATATGTCTCGGTGATATTCTTTTGGGGTCTATCCTTTCTGGGGTTTGTTGAGCTTCTTGAATGTTTATCTTTTCACTTTTCAGGATGTTAGGGACATTTTCTTCCAGCAGTTCTTCAACTATTTCCTCTGTGGACTTGTGTGATGCTTCCTGTTCTGGAATGCCAATAATTCTTAAGTTATTTGTCTTCATGTTATCCTACATGAATCTTAGACCTTCTTCAGATTTTTTTTATCCTTTTTTCTGTTTGCTCTTCTATCTTAGTGGTATTCAGAGATTTGTCTTCTCGCTCACTAGTTCTGCCTACCATCTCTTCTAATGTACTCCTTTGCCCTTTCAGAGTATTGTCTATTTCAGATATTCTATTATTGATCATATGGACCTCTCTCTATAGGTTTTGAATTGTTTCCAATGGTGTATCTATCTTATTTGATTTTTCTTGTAGTGCTTTCCTGATTTTTCTCAACTCCATTGTAAAGTGTTTTGAAATATTTTATAATCATTTTTCTGACATCCTTATCAGGCATTTCCACTGCTTGCCCACTTTCCATAATGGAGTCCAGGTCTACTTCTAGGTCATTTGTCACAGGCATTCTATTTTGTTTCTGGACATGTGCTGATATGGTCATCTGCTTTTGCTTCTTGGACATGTTTAGTATTTATCTGTGGCCTTAATACTTAATTGAGTGTGTGTTTTGGTATTTTTTATGCTTTCTGATTGCCTCTAGGTAGATGTGCTCAGGATGTGGGCTTCCCTTTTCACTCTTCTTTTTGCTTGACTCAGTAACTTTTCACAGGTATTGTCTACCTCCCTGATGTATGGCAGTTGGTATTGGTTCTTGCCTGGAGTTTGGTGTTTTATAGAGTGTTATTGTAGCTTGACTGTATGGCAGCAGTTGTTATCTTTTCTTGGGTAATGTAGGGAGAGAAAGAGTCCCCCAAAGTTACAGGAGGAGCATAAAACAGCAAATCAGCAACAGCAAAAAAACAAGAAAAACACCAAAAACAAAATCAACAACAACAAACCTAGATTGGCTACTGTAGTCTATAATCACAGAAAAGGGAGAGGAGGGAGAGAAGAAAAAAAGAAAAAAATCTGTAGCCTAATATGAGTATGACTTTAATGTCCTCTTTCAACTTCTTGCCTTCAAAGCTGCCTGATAAATTTCACAATGCCACTGTTCCTTGTTATAGTGTACCTCAGGATTTAATTTAATTTTCGGCCTCCCTTTGCTCTGAGGTTCCTGCTTTGTTATTCTGTGGTGGGTCTGCTCCCCCGCTTGGTCTTGCTGTTTGGTTTCTCCCAAATTGTTGGCTCTGAGCCTATGAGCCCGGCAGATGATAAAATATGCGATTTCTTACTTCCCCTACAAGTTCCACTTGATATAAGCCTTCAACCTTTTTAACTGTTTGTACCTATGTGGTTCAGAGTTTTGGAGCTCTTCCCTGAACCCTCTTCACCTGGTATTCTGTGGTACTGCTGACAGCTAACTTCACTGCACCTCTACCCTATCCGCCATCAAGCCCTGCCTCCTTTTTTTTTTTTTTTTTTAATTTGTTGGTACTGGCATGCATATATGAAGGAACTGAACGTTTGTGGGGAAATGGAATTAAATGGTAATGGAAGTTTTCCACAAACTTTTGAAGCCCTCTCATATTGTTAGTTCCTTTGAGATTGTAACGGTGGCATTTTACATTGTAATTCAAGGTCAAAATATGCTGTTACTAAAGTTTCTGTATAAATTAACCTTTTTTAGTTATATATCTTCATAGATTTTAAAAGAATATTAATTTGGTATTTTATAAAATATCTGTATATTTAATAATTTTGATTACATAACCTAGAACATATAATTTTATCTTGTTTATAAATGTTACAACCATGGTGGAGCAGTGTCTAAATTGACCTACTAATTGAAATGTCAACAGTTTCAACTCACCAGTCACTCTGAGAGAGAGAGTTGTGACAATGTGTTTCCATAAAGAATTACTCCGAGGAAACAGATGCTGTTCGCCTCTTTCTATAGTGTTGCTATGAAACGGATTTGACTCAGTGGCACTGGTTTTGGGTTTTTTGTTTTTGTTGTTAAATTTACCATTAAATCTATTACCAGTACTAATGGTAGACAATATTTTTGTTTGAGTGTCTTATTTAAAGGTTAAATGTATTTCTGAGACTTAAAGGTAAATGTCTAACCGTGAGTGTTAAAATTTTTAGACCTTTGTGTTTTGTATGCTGGAATGGTAAAATTTTATTTTGTAATTTCTCTTTTCTTTGTAGACATTCCACTTCTTCCTTCTATTACATCTCTAAGTCTGAATGAAAATGAAGAGAAAAGCGGACCTTTTGTGGTACACTGGCTAAACAATAAAGAATTACATTTAACTTTGTCCATGGAAGTCTTTTTACAGCAACTTAGAAAAAGTTTTGAGCACCAATCTTCTGAGGCCAGTGTAGATGACTACAATCAGGTTGATGTAAAAACTGATGAAGGTAAAACTTTTTAAAAAATGAAACAATTAATTTTTAATAAAATATTAATGGCTTTTATATTGGAATAACTATAGCAATTGTCATAAATAAACTCCAAATGGCATAGTACCAATTTGGAGTAGCTCATTTAATAAATATTGCTATTCCAAGTCTACTTTTTCCCCGGATCAATCAAGGATTTAGGGAACTTCATTTAGACAAGTCTGTTAGTCTTGCTATGGGAAAGACTTCCCGTATTTGTAGACTTCCAGGAAGTTTATTGAAAATGCAGTGTCACAGACTCCACCAAGTCTTACTATAACAGAATCTGCAAATTAACCACATCCAGGTAATTTGTTTGTACATCAGTGTTTCAAAACATTGACTTTGGGTCTTATGCTCTTCTGCATTCAGCCTGCAGTCTTATGGAAAGAGAGGGGCTTTGATATAGCTCTTTCTCAACTGTCTTGTCTCAGAAATGACAAATGTCACTCAAATTCCATTGACAAGACTAGTCACAGGGCCCATGTCATCTGTGACTGATACACTAAGAAATGGAACAATGAAATTAGTGTAGCCTGTGATTCATAAGGAGTCATGGTGTGGCGCTATAGGATAAGGAATGGACTGCTAGCCCAGTGTCAGAGGTCCAAACCCACCAGTTGCTCCTTGGAAACCATATACAGGGTCACAATGAATAGGAACCAAGCCAACGGCACTTAACAACAATTCACAAGTGTTTTTCAAAAGTTTTAATATTTGTTTATTTTTACTCACAAGAATATACACTCTCATTAGGAAACCAAAGTCAAATACTACATTGTTACCGTTGTTAGGAACCATCAAGTCAGCACCGACTCATAGCGAACCTTTGCATAGCAGACCGAAACACTGCTCGATCCTGGGTCAGCCTATATATGTTGCTGTTGTTATGTATTGTGGAGTCGGTTCTGACTCATAGAGACCCTGCACAGGGTTTCCAAGGCTGTTAATCTCTATGGGAGCAGAATGCCTCATCTTTCTCCCATGGAGCATCTGGTAGTTTCGAACTGCTGACCTTGTGGTTCGTAGCCCGATTTGTAACCACTACGCTACCAGAGCTCCATAACCTACATATTGGTACAAAATTTTCATGCTAAGCTTGATGAGTGTCTTAGATTCATTGTTTTATGTACTCACTTGAATACATGTATCTATCTCTATATATCTGTACACACAGACAAACACACACATACATTGTTAAATGCTGGCGAGTCAGTTCCAACTCATAGCGACCCTTTGTAGGGTTTTCAAGGAGTGTCTGGGAAGCTTGAACCACTGACCTTGTAGTTCAAACCAACTTTGCAGTCCAGTGCATATACATATATATATGTATCTGTTGTTGTTAAGTGCCGTCTAGTCGGTCCCGACTCATAACGATCCTGTACAGGGTTTACAAGGCTGTAAATCTTTCAGGAGCAGAAAGCCTCATCTTTCTCCCGCAGAGCAGCTGGTAGTTTCAAACTGCTGACCTTGCGGTTTGCAGCCCAATTTGTAACCACTACGCTACCAGATAAACTTAGAAATATCTTTATAAATACATTTGTGATTAAGAAGAAAAAAAATTTTCATATTGAGAAATGTGTTCCCTGTAAAAATAACTTTGTTCCAGCAAAGTTTATATCCATGAGCAGATCATGGACATATTTTTAAGTGTTTTTTTTTTTTTTTAAGTGATTTTAATACTCAGCCTCAGCTGAGAACTGCTGTTTTAAAATTGATTTTCTCTTGGAACAGTGTTAACCTTGTGTAAAATTCTCCTCACTCTGAATTGACTGCCTGGAAAAAGCATAAGTAAATAAAAACATATAATTAAAAATAAAATGATATTTCTTAGTTTATAGCAATAGCTTGACTTTATTTACTTGGTTCATAATCCTTTTGCTTATAGAAATGGATGATGGTGTTGATCTGAAAATAAATCATGAAAAGAAGGAATCGGACAGCAATAAGATCATACCAGACTCAAGTTTTGTACCATTACCATCAGCTGCTATTGATCATCAGATTGAAGTACTTCTGTCTGAGTGGAGTAAAAATGCAGACATGCTATTCAGTATTCATCCCATGGATGGTTCTTTGTTGGTTTGGCATGTAGATTGGCTGGATGAATACCAGCCTGGTATGTTTCGCCAAGTGCAGGTACTATTAATATGTTCTCTAGAGAAATAATTGTTAAATGTGTGTACTGTTTCATAATACTACTTTCTATAATTTCATATGTTCTAATACTTGCTTTCTTAATTCTAGGTGTCCTTTGTTTCCAGAATTCCTGTAGCTTTTCCCACAGGTGATGCAAACTCTCTCTGTAAAAGCATAGTGATGTATGCCTGTACGAAGAATGTTGACTTGGCTATTCAGCAAGGCAAACAAAAACCTTCTAGTCTCACACATTCCACATCAATGCTTATCTCTTCTGGTCATAGTAAATCAACTAATAGTTTAAAATTAAGTATTTTCACCCCAAACGTTATGATGATTTCAAAGCATGCCGATGGTTCTCTCAATCAGTGGCTGGTCAGTTTTGCTGAGGAATCTGCTTTTTCTACAGTTCTCAGTATTTCACATAAATCCAGATATTGTGGGCATCGCTTTCATCTTAATGATTTAGCTTGCCATTCAGTATTACCATTATTGTTGACAACGTCACACCATAATGCATTAAGGACACCAGATGTTGAAAACCAAAAGCAACCTTATGCTGTCAATAATGAAGAATGTTCTTTGGGACAACAGAATAAAAGCACCATTGATGTGGTATTCCAGGATCCTAACGCAGTTTATAGTGAGCTAATTCTCTGGAGGGTTGATCCTGTTGGACCATTGTCTTTTTCTGGAGGTGTTTCTGAGCTTGCCCGGATTAATTCTCTTCATGTTTCTGCCTTTTCCAATGTGGCATGGCTGCCCACTCTTATACCCAGTTACTGTCTAGGTAAGCATTCTGATTTCAATTTAAGAAATTAGTTGGTTTTTTGTTTTGTTTTGATGTTTACATTATCCCTAGACTGTTAAATTTTAAATATTTGTAAATGGTTTCTAGGTGCATACTGCAACTCTCCTAGTGCATGCTTTGTAGCAAGTGATGGACAGTATCTGAGATTATATGAAGCGGTTATTGATGCCAAGAAACTTTTATATGAGCTTTCTAACCCTGAAATTTCTGTAAGTAAATGGCTTTTAAAACTGTTTTAAGTATTAAGGTTTTTAGGCATTTAATTATTGGGCACTTTCTCGAGTTGTTACTTATAATTTGTAATAAACATGCATATCTGTTGTAGTTATTTCTTAATTTTTCACATTTGTATTATTATAGTATTTCATTGTACTCCTTTGTTGTTGTTAACTGCCATCAAGTTGGTTCCAGCTCAGCGACCCTATATAGGGTTTCCGAGATCTTAAATCTTTTCGGGAGCAGACAGCCTCATCTTTCTCCTATGGAACAACAACTGGAGGACTTGAAACCACAGACCTTGTGGTTTACAGTCAAGTGCTTATCGATGAAGCCATTGCACTCCTTTTACTCCGTTAGCTACTTTAAAAAGAAAACATCTCTTTCATTCATTCAACAAGCAAATTCTATTGCCCTGCAACATGTGTTTCTGTAATGACTCTCAGCTCATAGATAAATGAGTACGAATAACCACAATATAACCACCATCATAGCAGTATAATGTGGAAGTTATGCTAGTTCATATGCTTTTTTTTTTTTTGTAGGTATTGGAGTAGGAATAACAGCAATAGGATTTTAATCTTAAGAAAGGAAAAAGCTCCCAGTTTGGTTGCAATGCCGTTAGGAGGATTTTCAATACCATTGCAAACTTTTTGCTTTATGACGAGCTATACATTCTCCTGTCCCCAACTAATAGCAACACACTGTCTGCATTATCTCAGCAAACTAACATTTCTATTCTTTTGTTTTTTGTGTTTTATAATATTCTGAATTAGCGTTTAGCTATACTGAGCTGCATACTCAGAAAGTTCAAACTATCTCTCCAGCTACCAATTAGTGTTTATGTTAATGCTCTAGCTACAGGATTGCATAGGTTTCAATTGTCTGCCCAGTGCTTTTTTTTTAAATCTTTTTTTGTTGTTGTTCAGGAGGTGTTTTTTACTGTGTGAGTTAGTAGAAAGCAGGGATTTTTCAGAAACATATACATAGTGTTATATCAGAAACACCTGTTTATTGAGGGTCTTCTGTTTTTTATGTGCTGGGAATTTAGATTTGAACAAAATAGCCAAAAACCCATTATTATAGAGCTTAGTCAAGGAAAATATGGTGGGAAAGGTAAAAATATAATTACATACTATAGAGAGAAATAGTGTTGCAATGGAAGTAGGAAGTGACAAGTAAAATAATAGAGAACACCTCACCGATAACATAACATTTGAGAAAAAACTTGAAGCAAATAAGATAATTAACTATGTGGATATTTGTTGTTGCTGAATGCCACTGAGTTTATTGCAACTAATAGTGACCCTATAGAATAGTATAGAACTGCCCCTTAGAGTTTCCTATGTTGTAATCTTTATGGAAACAAATCACCTTGTCTTTGCTCCCGTGGAGCCATTCACTGGTGAGCTTGAAGCCATGTGCTTAACTATTGCACCATCAGAGAGCTCCTTTGTAATATTTAGGGAAAGGCTATTTCAGGTAGAGGAACAGCTAGTGTAAAGAACCTGAGGTCAGAGTATGTTTGGTATTTAAAGGAAAAACAAGGAGGCTTTTGTAGCTGGAGTACAGGAAGTGTGGATGAGGTCAGAAGTTAGCCTGACCAAATCATATAAGGCCTCATAGGTCATTGTGGTGATGTTAGCTTTTATTCTGAATTAACATGGGAACCATTGAAGAGACTGATGGAGTGATATGATCTGACATAGGTCTAAAAATTAGTATCATAGATTATATATGAAAAGCAGAAGTGGAATCAGAGTGAACAATTTAGAAACCTATTAAACTAGTTTAGAAGAGACAGAAAAGGGAGCTTATACTAGAGTGGTAGCAAAAATTGGTGAAATTGATAGAAGTGGCATAAGTTGGTGAAATTCTGGATGTGTTTTGAACATTTAGTAGGGTTGGATTGGGTATATAGAATATTTATGTAAGTGACATAAAGGGTGACTCCCAAGGTTTGTGACTGAGCAATACGAAGAATAGAGTTGCCATGAGTTGAGAAGAGGTAGACTATAATAATGAGCCGATTTTGAGGGGCAGGAGAAATTACAAGTCTGGCTTTGGACATGGTAATTTTGAGATGAGTGCCCTGGTAGTAGAGTGGGTTAAGCATTGGGCTACTACTGTAAGGTTGATGGTTTAAACCCACAAACCTATCTTTGGAAAAAGCTAAGGGTATAATGTTCTCATAAAGATTTAGTTTCATAAACCTTATGGGGCAATTCTTATAGGATTGCTGTGATTCCGAATATAAATTAGGAAGGAAAAGCAGACTATTACTGAATGTTTAACCACTGAAAACTGTATGAATAGCAGCAGAACATTGTCAAATATAGTGCCAGAATATGAAAACAATATGAATAGCAACAAAACATTATACGATATAGTGCTGGAAGATGAGCCCCTCAGTTTGGAAGGCACTCAAACTATGACTATAGAAAAGCTGCATCCTTAAAGTAGAGCTGACCATAATGACGCGAATTGAGTAAACCTTTCATACCTTCATTTGCTGATGGGTTACAACTCAAAACGATAGCAAACATTTGTAAACATTACTTAATATTTGTAATATGGAATGTACAGAGTTTGAATCTAGGAACATTGGAAGTTGTAAACAATGAAATAGAATGCATAAACATATAGATGTCCTAGGCATTAGTGAGCTAAAACGAACTGGTATTAATCATTTTGAATCAGACAATCATGTGGTTTACTATGCAGGGAAGTAGAAATTAAAGAGGAATGGCATCAAATTCATTGTCAAAAAGAACATTTCAGGATTTATCTTGAAGTACAGTACTGTCCGTGACAGGATAATTTCCATATGGCCACCACTCATCTGTCTGTCGTGCTGTGGTGGTTTGAGTTGCTGTGATTCTGAGAGCTATGCCACCGTTGTTTTAAATAACCAGCAGGGTCACCCATGATGGACAAGTTTCAGATGAGCTACAAAGCAAAGACAGACGAGGAAGAAAGAGTGACAAACTACTTCCAAATCGCTAGTCACTGAAAACTCTATGAATAGCAGAGAAACATTGTCAGATACAGGACTGGAAGGTGGGAAGGCACTCATAATGCGACTGGGGAAAAAACTGCCTCCTCAAACTAGGGTTGACCATAATGACATGAATACAGTTAAGCTCGGGGGAGAAAAG